TTAATTTTAAAAAGTATGCAAAAAATTCAAGAAGCACCATAAATTGGAGTTTGTGATGAAAAATCTTGCCAAATTTGAGCATGCGTGGACAACATCCCATAAAGTCGAAAACTTTTTTTTTAGTGTTTTGAAGAAAAAAAATGCGTGGCTGTCAGAAAATAGTAATGAAAAATGTGCAAAAATGTTAGTTTGTGCGTTTATGAGACAAAAACTGAAGGTTTCTGTATTTCCTATTTTTAATAAGTTTTTGGCCATGAGAAAAAATTCAAAAAATATTTTACGACCAGAAGTTACGTTTTTCCGCTCCCTGTTATTAACCCATGAATCTCCAAAACCCTTGCATGGAACTTTCTGTCATTTATGGTGTGAGTGGCTAGCGCTTGGCCAAAACGCATTTAGCCCAAAGTAGGTCCCCGGGTTGACCTCCATACACCAAAAATACTTATCATACAATTCCATACAACATAATCATTATCATACAATTCCATACATCAAGTGTATAGAGAAAATGCTTACCTTAAATTTTCCATATATGAAAATTATATGACTGGCATTTTTTTGATGGCGACTCCAAATTTTTTTTGGAATTTTGTACGCAAACAAACATTTTCCGAAAAAAACTTTTTGCATGCAAAATTTAAATTTTTGTGTGCATAACGTAGTCATGGATACGATAACATTGGCTTTTTTTCTTTTCACTTACATATTTTTTTCAAAATCGCTGAAAATCCCTTTTTTGTATAGCGTGCTTACGTATGCCTTGATCAATGTCTGATAACTTGATAATTCAAAAATTCAAAATAATCATTTTTGAAAAATTTTGCCAAAAATTAAAAGTTTGTTACTTTTGTTATATCATTTGTGAAAGACAGCTCGAATACAGTTCAGGTCATTTACTATGCATTGTAAATGCAAGACCGACCAACTTTTAGTGCTTAGAGTAACCACGGTCTTTGTCACTTGTGTTCGGTTGCAAACAGAACCCAAAATTTTTCAGAAAATAAAATTAGAAACAAAAAACAACTTTTTGGTTTAGTGAAAAAACACCTATCATACAATGTCCATTTATGGGAAAACTTTTATCATAGAGATTTCATACAATTTTTTGCTTTTGTACGTATGGAATTGTATGAAAAGAAATTTTCCATTTATGAGAATTGTATGACAAGCATTTTTGGTCAACACGGGTCAGTAGTTTTATTTGGCTGCGCCATTTAATTCATCCTTTGCCGGTTCACAAGAGAATTTTGAGACAATAACGAGGCTGCTCGTAAACCAGAGCAAAACCCTGATTGTTCCGATTTTACTATCAGACCAATTTAAAGTTTTTTATTGAATTATTGAAAAAATAATCGAAAAGGTTTTTTTTTTCATTTTTTTTCTTTTCCTTTCTTCATTTCATCCCCCACATACTATGTAAAATAGAAAAAAAAACATCTTTAGCGTCTGTTCTTGCTTTAAAAGGGCTAAATTGCTGGATTGAATTCAATTTGTAACGCATTATTTTGGTACTTTAAGATTTATACGAGCATTATATCGCGCGTCAAAAATCCCAAACTGAACAAATTTGCAATTTTCAATTCCTCGTAACTGTACAAAAAATGATCAGTGGCAAATTATTTTTTTGAGCGCAGGCCAACAATATCCGTCAAACACGCTTAGTTAAAAATTCGAATATTTGCAGTTCCGTCGAATAAAAAAAACCAAATTTAATCATTTCCTCGGAAATCGGAACAAAAAATAATTTTTAATTCACTGTTTTTAGAAGTAATTTTAGAAAATAGCTTGTTTTTATAAGCATTATGTTTTTGTTTTGTCGCGTTTTAGTGTGATTATCATTTAAAAAAATTTCATGACTCTATTGTATTGATTTTTTCGAAAAAAAATGGTTGGGTCGTTAAGTGAAGTCCTCCACATTTGAGTTTCAATTTTGGAAAATCTTTTTTCACAATGTCATAATGTATTGAAATTTAGAATAAACTAAATTCTTGTGAATAAATTTAATCATCTTTACTAACATCGTTAAGTTACGCATTAGGCCATAATAACAGTTAAAAAAAGGAAAATGGAAAAATTAAAATTTGGGATGGAAAAGAAGGTTGATTTTTTCTGACATTTGATGTTATGAACTGCAATGAAATTTGTCAGCGTGATCAAATTTCGACATCACTTTTTGCATGCAAATTATTTCTTTTAGAAACTCGCCTTGTCAAATTACAACTTCATTTTGTTGAAAATAGAGACGAAATTGAACATTTTTCAAAAAATAATAATTTCACTTTCAAAAACACAGAAGAATAAATTTATCTTTCAAAAACGCAGACTGCTACTAGTATCAAGGCGACACCTTGAATGTTCCCACTGTCTTTTAAAAGGTTTATGGAGGAAAGTTTGCTTAAAAACATTGATGAACATTTCAAAACAAAATCTTTCCCTCACACGCTTTGTAATGGTTAAAGCGCTGTAAATTGCACATCGCAGAGTGTTAAATAGACCAAAAAGCATAGCTCAATTCAATTTGGATTCTTAAGATGGATTACTTTCCGCTTGCGGGCTAATAGCACGAAATATATTGCGTGTTAATTATCCCAAAAAAGCCAAATTGGCAATCTTTAAAACTACAGAAATTTTTTTTAAAAAGATCACATGAGAAATCTCTTTTTAAATTTCAGCTTAAGAAACAATACCTTCTGACTTATATTTTAAAATTCCGTCAAAAAATGCTAGTTGATTAGTCAAAAATTTTCAGGAGAAAAAAACAGTCCAAACTCAAATATTTCATCGTTTTCTTCGAAATTTTCGTGTTTTGCACCAGCAGATTTAGGGGGCGGGGGCGGACGCAACCCCCCATTCAAAGATTCGACCCCCTGCCGACCTAAAGGTTCCCCCTTTGTACTATTTCAATATCTCCATTGACGGACCGTAAATTTTTTCTTAAGGAGCCTTTGGCGCCAATATCCCGATTTTTCTATCATTTTTTTCTCCAAAAAATGCCTCCTAAAACGCCTTCTCAGCCTGTTTTTTTCATATCTTTATAACGACTTGTGACAGCTCGGAAAATCAATTTGGCCAACCTAGAAAAAGTTGATAAAATTTCACTCTATCTGTTTCCTCAGTTGTGGGTTATTGCTTTCTGGCAAAAGACTAAGTCGCCTTAACTATCAAGGGAGCGGGAAAAACGTAGATACTTTTTAAAACTTTTTTCTTTTTAATGCCCTTAGTTAATTTTAAAAAGTATGCAAAAAATTCAAGAAGCACCATAAATTGGAGTTTGTGATGAAAAATCTTGCCAAATTTGAGCATGCGTGGACAACATCCCATAAAGTCGAAAACTTTTTTTTAGTGTTTTGAAGAAAAAAAATGCGTGGCTGTCAGAAAATAGTAATGAAAAATGTGCAAAAGTGTTAGTTTGTGCGTTTATGAGACAAAAACTGAAGGTTTCTGTATTTCCTATTTTTAAATAGTTTTTGGCCATGAGAAAAAATTCAAAAAACATGTTTTACGACCAGATGTTACGTTTTTCCGCTCCCTGTTAATAACCCATGAATCTCCAATACCCTTGCCTGGAACTTTCTGTCATTTATGGTGTGAGTGGCTAGCGCTTGGCCAAAACGCATTTAGCCCGAAGTAGGTCCCCGGGTTGACCTCCATACACCAAAAATGCTTATCATACAATTACATACAACAAAAATCATTATCATACACTTCCATTTTTGTATTACTGATAAATAATAAGTTTTCATTTTAAAATTTTACAGCTCAGATTCTTTAAAGTGTGTAACACAAACACAATCATGAATTAAAAAAGTAATTAGAAAAACTAAAAGAATCGGCTTTTTTGAGATACTTCAATTTAAAAACTTTTACTATCGCTTTCAAAAAAGAATTCTCACCCAATTTTTTACGTTTTTTTCTCATTTGTGAAACTTGCATTTACGGTCCATGGAGGTCACCCAAGTCGCAGTTTAGTAATTTCTATTTTAACTAAGTTGTCTCCATTTGTGCTATTTCTATCAAATGTGAGAGTGAAACAGCAAGGGTTGAGGTGCTTTCGGCTAAGTTTTTGGATTCGCTCTATGTTCACATATTCACAAATGATTAACCGTTGAATAGATAAAGATATTCTTTTTTTCTACCAGCGCGGTCAAAATTTAGTGCAAGTGATTTTCAACCATGATCTAGATCCAATCGTGAATGCTTCAATTGTATCCGACCATTTCATCCATAACTCATTGCTCTCCAAATTTCCTCTCAAACTCAAAAAACTTGGTGCTTTGCCGGTATTACCTGAAGTCATTACACTAAGTCAATAATCCAGCCTCTGCTATCTTTAAAAAAATAACTATTTTTCTCAGGAACAAGATATTTTCCGCTCTTCTTGCTTCGCCAATGAAAAATTTCGGCTGATTAAAAATCACCACTTGGTTTTAGTAATTTGGACCTCTTTAAATATCCCTCCCCTTCTTAGCAAAAGTGGAGGAGGAGGGGAGGTCGTTAATAGGTAAAATGAGCGCATATGTTTAACCGTTGAATTATTTCATGATAGCGTTGACAATTCGTTGCTAGGTACCAAAGGGGGGGGGGGGTAGTTAAAGAGATTCAGAAATTTTAAAGACAACTTAACCGGGGCCCAGAAATAAAGAGCCATTTGGATAAATACTGTCTGTCAATTATTGAATAATTCGATCAATAAGAAAACAATAGGAAAATAAACTGCTCTTAATTTGCAATCAACAACTATGATATATTCAGCCTGACACTTGAATGGAAAATCTATTCAATTCCTTTAATCAAATTTAATTCTAACTTTAAGAGTTTGAAGAAATCATTAATCTCTTACTATATTCTAAAGTGGGACACTCAAATTCGGAGTTGATGAAATTCGAATTCAATTTTTAAATTATCAGTTTCTAAACTTATTTTTCTGAACCTTTAAAAAAGACATTAAAATTTCAGAGAGAGACACTTCTTGTCGATTGTATTCGAAATAAAATAGTAAAATGAGTGAATCTCCTAACTGGGATCAAAACTTGGACGACGAGCAACAGGATCTTCGGCTCAAGGTGAACTCACGAGAGCGAAAACGAATGCACGACTTGAACTCGGCTTTGGACGGACTACGCGAGGTTATGCCTTATGCACACGGACCCACAGTTCGCAAACTGTCAAAAATTGCTACTCTTATTTTGGCGCGAAATTACATCATGATGCTGAGTGCTTCGCTTACCGAGATGAAAAAGCTTCTCGCCGAGTCCTACTCGGTTAATGCGGCACTCACTCATTCGCTGCAAAATGGCGGGAAACCGATAAGCCGTTCGGGTCAAAACTTGGGCCCAAGTGGCGTCGCGGCGAATTGGAATTTTCCGCTGAACGAGTTACGCAACTCAGGCAGTGATTGCGTAAGAGGAACCACTCAACCGCAGTGCCAAATCAGCGAACACTTCGTCTCAACGGCCAGGCTGCCCATCCTTCGGTTTGTAGAGAATCTCAAAACTTATGTAAAAAAAACAAAAGAACCCCGAAAAGACTTCTAAGTAGAAGATCCCACTAAATACTCAGAACGGTTAAAATTGCTCTGCAAAAATTGTGTCAGCTTGAGTAGTTGAAATTCAAATGCTGCCAATTCAACCAATTAGCAAATATTAAAAACGGAAAACACTTTGGAGAAGAAATGATAAGGAGCTCAATTTTTGAATAACTCACCGAAGCACCGAATGCGCGGCAATTTTGTCAGCCAATAAGAATTCATTTTTCATGAAATCGAAGGAAATAAAGCAAAAAAATTAGTCAGTTCATGACAGTTTGAAGAGCATTGATTGGTTGAAAATTTTTGCGCATTCGGTCCTTCGCGCATAAAAAGAGCCCCTCCTTTAACACATTTGAATTTCAGGCAAGAGCAACGGGTGAATACTTCGGCAGATAGAGTATTGTCCAAGGGGAAGAGAACAGCTGCTGGTTAGAGTTTTTCATCAGAATTTTCTCATTGTGCTTTTTCTGCTTTTATGCGGGGTCAAGCAAACAAATTTTCAAGTTTTCAAAAAATGTCGGTAGAGAAAGTCGCGAAATTCGAAACATATCAAACTTTGGTCCAGAAAATGGAACCAAATCTATGCGGGGTCGAACAAACAAATTTTTTTAAATGTTGTTCGAAACATTGAAAAAGTCGAAAAAGTCTAAACATATTGAATATTGGCCGAGAAAGCCGAACCATATCTGAGCTGGGTCGAAAAAAGTCCAACACTTTTTTTGTTCGAACGAGAAAGTCGAAAAATACCAAAAATTGGTCGAGAAAGTCGAGACAGACCAAATTTCAGTCGAGAAAGTCGAACACAAATCGAGCACCTCGACCCGGGAAGTACAAATTGAATTTTGATTTGATTTTTCCAAAAAAGAGACCAGCTTAAAATTATAAAAAAAAATTCACAAGGTAATGTAAATTACCATTATCTATCATCGTTCAATCTCAAAGTTTCGGCCATGAATATAAATTAAGTGCAATATGCAAGAGGTTTCAAATTAGGGTAGAAGAATGTTGTATATGCGAACATTGTTTCACAGAATTAGTGGGAAAGGATGTTAGTTTTAGGCACAGAAAACAAGGAAATGATTCACATGACTCATCGAATCGTGGACTATAAGCGAAACGCTAGTGACGATAGACTTTTGGACAAAAACACAGATGCTAAGAAGATGCGAATATCAAACGAGAAGTAATGAACTCCAAAAAACTGCTCGCGAAAACGACTTGTGCTTTCGAAAACTCATAACAACTCGCAAATACAAATTTTCTGAAGCACATGCGCACAATTGTTCAAATTAGAAGAAAAAAGTTCAATTATCCAAATTGCATCAGCTGTTTTCAGAATTACTGCGTCAATAGGAAGAAATTAATAGTATCATATCCTTTTTAAAGTGATTTAATTAATGTGGTTAATAATATGGCAGACTGCTTATCAATAGATACAAATTAATTATTTATAGATTTAGTATACAATTGGTTTTTAGCTACAAAAAAACGATCTGCCGCCCGTCTAAATCAGTGAGCATACAAATTGCAACAAGACAAGACTACTCGCAACAAGGCGACGCCCTGCATAGTCCGATTGCTCTTTAATGTTTATGAAGAAGTGTGCAATTTAAAAAGTATATTGAAAGAATAAAAAAAGTGGAAAAAGTTGAATATTTAATTTTTTTTGTAATAACCAAGCCCCTTTACTAGAAAAAACAATGCTCGATAATAGAATGTTTTGTTTCATTTAATAAATAAAACTATACGTCTCAGTTCCTGGTTTAATCTTAGATCAAAGTTGATCTGATCCTAAATTCAAAATGATATTTATGAAAACAAATAATTTAAGAGGATGTTAAAAATGAATGTTTTTTAGATAAGACATAACTGTTTGTCTATTGTTAACTTACAACCAGGAGGGGGATTCAACTTTCTAAATCTATTTCATTTTACTTTTTCTAGTTTTTGATTAAGAAAGCGGAAAAAAAATTGAACAGAGAGGGTACTACTCTTCTTTTCTTGAGAAGAGGTACTCCGGCAATTGTCCAGTTGAAGTTTTTTGGACCAAGGGTAATTTGTCTGTCAGGACCAAAGGTAATTTTAAGTTCTTTCCAAAAAAAAAGTGGCGAAAAAAAATGTTTTATCTTAAAATTTAACGTTTGAAAGTTATACTTTTAAATAATTTTTGTTCAAAAAAATTGACAGACTTTGAAAGGGTAAAAAAAGAAGTTGTTTTAAAAGAGAATACAATGAAAGAAGAGATATATTATTGTCTGTTTGGCAAGAAATTAGCATCAATGGAATATGGCAACTGACACTCCTCCAGAGAAAATTTTGTTTTTTCCTGCACCTGCTTTTTAGACCTCAATCTTCTTTTAACTTATAACGTTGTTTTTCATCAGAAGACTCATTTTTGCAATTTTTTGATATCTGATATTAAAAAATCGAAATTAAATTTTTTCATTTGCCTTAGTTAATTTAATGTTCAAACCGTTGGGGAATTTATCTGTTTTTAAAGTCATAAAAATAAACACACGCCACAACACTGGTGTCAGGGATAAATTTGAAGTTATTTTAGTCATTTACTGATTCTAAGAATTTGTTCGCTCAGTTGAATTCTGATTCAAGTGTTATCTTGAAAGTGCAATCTTATCTTGAGGTCTGAACAAATGTGGATTAGAAAAGAAGTAACCGAATCCTATCTAAACAGTTAAAGCAACAGCTTTTTATATAAGTGGAGCATTTTCAAAGTTTTACCCCACACTCTATTTTAAGTAAAGTGATATATTTAGCATATAGTAACATTTAATTTATATGTTTTGAAGAATTGTAACTATGCTTATCTAAAAGCTGAAAAAAATTTGTTTTCCTTGAGGTCTCTGCAAGCATCCAGCCACCATTTTAAAGGTCTCAGCTCTATCAACTACATTTACATTCCCAACAAAAACAATCCCAATTGTTTTGTCGAAGGGTAAGGTAATTTTATGAAAAAACTCAAAGAAAGCTTGTCTACAAGCAAACAAGGCTAGAAGAACGAAACTAAATATGACAAAATTGTTATCGTCACTTCAAAATAGATATTCGAAATAGATCAAAATGGCGGGAAACTCTAATTAAAACTATCACGACTCAGAAAAAATTTTAATAAACTGAACAAGGACAGTCGCTTACTGTGCAAGTAGCACAGAATGTTCCAACCATAGTCTTTATAAAACTACGGTTTAGAAAGTTTTTTCCAAATAAAAGTAGTTTTTCTGCTTGGTGTGATAGGACTTGACCTAAAAAAGATCTGACAAAAAATACTAATGGCATATTAGACAGCATAGAAGAAAAGGTAAAAGCAGATATAGAAAAATGACGGGAAAAACTTTAAAAAAATTTAATAAAAGTTTTGAAGTTTTGAGTGAAATTTTTGATTTTTTCGCATTAAAAGCAGCAAGGATTCTCCCCCATCTGCTGCTCCTCAAAACTAAATCAAAAACAACCGGATACAATTCTAATAATCTGAGCCGCCGCATAATTTTAAGGAAGCAAGGCCTATTAGACTAGTTTTTCACTGAACTAAAAGCTCTCTAAATTAGGCATCCAAAACAGAAGAAGTGCAAAGTAAACGGGGAAGTTAAACAATTCGATAAACTAAGGAGTACAGGCAAAACATCTGCCGCCCTTGGCTGCCTTTCAGACAAGAAAACATAAGGAGTACCTCCTTCAAGCCACGTCATTCAAGGAAAAACAGTCTTTTGTATCCTGAAAGAAAACACCCCAAAGCCAAAGCAGCGAACATTAACTCTCTAACTGAGGTAAGTGAAGACACAATGCTATAGCACCCTTCTATATTCGATTTAAAAAACGCCAAAACAGTTCAAAAACCAACCCTGAAAGCGCAGGGAAGCCAATTTTCCTCAGATCTAGATGCGAATGGAGAAGGTTATTAACATACTCCAACCAGGCATCTATTGAGCTTTGCAAAACAATTGAAAAGCTATCCAATACAATAGCAAGTAAAGTTTTATCCCATAAAAACCTAACGGCGTTCAACACCAGGAGTAAAGTTTTTTGGTATGAGCAAGGTACTGAGCCGAATAATTGGCAAACCAATAACCCAAGCTATGATAACAGAATTTAAAACTTTGGAAAAAATTTCTCCAACTCTGCCTAGGCCGGAAATGTGGAATCGAAAATACTATCCACAGCTTGAGAAACGAGTTTGAGAAAACAGAAATGGACGCCATACTATTTATTGATGCAGAAAAAGCCTTCAACTCGCTCAATAGAGAACATGTTCTAAAATTGTAGGAGTCTTTTGTCCGGCAACACAACAAGCGCTGGTCAACTCATATAATTATCGATCAATATTATATGACAACAACACGGTTTTGACATATACCGAAGGCAAAATGCAAGGTGATCCCCTTGCAATGTCTTTGTACGGAATAGGGATAATCCCACTGATCGAGCTCCTGCAAAAACCAAAGCTCACCCAAAATTGATACGCAGATGACGGAAGCGCTGCAGGTGATCTTAGGAGTCTCCATGCAATACTGACATCCTGGATGTGCGAGGAAAGGCTTTCGGCTGCAATGTGGAGCCTTCAAAGTGTCAGCTCATAATGAAGGAAAACTGTCGAGAAAGCGCCATAAAGATTTTGCAAGGCATATATATTTCAATGGTAGATGGTTTTAGAGTCCTTGGATCGGTTATAGGAACAACATCAGCACGCAATCAAAACATGCAAAGCGAAACCAGAAAAACAACAACTCTAACAAAAAAAACTTTCCAAAATACCTAAGAGATCACCATAAAATGCGTACTCCTGCTGCACACAGAGAGCTTAAAATAATTTAAGCTTTCTAACCAGAACAACTCCGGAAGTACTTAAGAAAATGGATGAAATTGAGAAAAACGTAAGACAGCAGCTGCTTCCTAGTATTAATAGTAAAAACCATATACCGATGAAGATGGCAGCCTTTTTGCACTACCAAAATTTCTAGACCTCCGACTTTGCCAGCAATTACGAGTTGTCAC